TCTTTGTTGTTTTTGGATATTAAAATTATATTACAGTAATGGTTAGGGTTAGGGTTTTCTTCTTCCTTTGCTCTCTTAATCCCGCGTCTTTAAGGAGCAACCTTCATTTCCGGAATGCAATAGTCCCATTTCAATATAAGGTATGGGACTGACGGAAAGGTCTGTCACCGCCCCGTTCTGCATGCTGCAGCAAAGTGTACTTGGAATTTTCTGATATTTATTTATTGAAAAAAGTTTATTTGAATTCTGACCTTTCTTCGACTCTCTGGTAGTGAGTCAGAAAAATCTAAATAAACTTTAAATTCTTCTCTACTGTTAGCTGTACAGAGCCTGCGAGGGGACATGCAGAGATTTTTTTCTTTTGCATTCCCACGCAATAGTATTGCGTTACCTTTCTTGCATTACCTCGCAATACTTTTGCGTTACCTCACTTGGGTTAACTCGCAATACTTTTGCATTACCTGACTTGCGTTACCTCGCAATACTTTTGCATTACCTCACTTGGGTTAACTCGCAATACTTTTGCGTTATCTCGCTTGGGTTAACTCGCAATATCTTTGCGTTAACTCGCAATATCTTTGCGTTAACTCGCAATATCTTTGCGTTACCTCACAATACTTTTGCATTACCTCACTTGGGTTAACTCGCAATACTTTTGCGTTACCTCACTTGGGTTAACTCGCAATACTTTAGCGTTACCTCACTTGAGTTAACTTACAATACTTTTGCGTTACCTCACTTGTGTTATCTCACAATACTTTTGCGTTACCTCACTTGGGTTAACTCGCAATACTTTTGCTTTACCTCACTTGGGTTAACTCGCAATACTTTTGCGTTACCTCACTTGGGTTAACTCGCAATATCTTTGCGTTGACGCGCAATATCTTTGCGTTAACTCGCAATATCTTTGCGTTACCTCACAATACTTTTGCATTACCTCGCAAAATTGTTTTGCGTTCCCACGCAAAAGATTGTTTTGTATATGAACTGAATTAAATCAGACTTTTATTTTGAAATATACAGTTACCAAAACAGGATGTGTTGCCACAAGTTCGTGAAATTGACGCTGATGTTGCGTGGCTGCACTGTGTTAAAATATCAACATATGACATACTTCCATGCGTGGTTGTGTGATATGTTCATTCTGAAGCTGAATTAAAGCAGAAGGTTAACTCGCTAATGGTGAACATGTGAGTTTGTTAATGAACCTGCAGGCACAACAGTGAAAAAATACTTTTTGCAAGGGAACGCAAAAGAAAACAAATCTTCCATGTCCCCTCGCAGGCTCCATACTATAGTAACACTTTCTTTACATGCAGGCATGTCTTTGTCATCACCTCCTGTTGCTGCACATGCAAATATCGCAACAATTTTTTTTTTCAAAAGTAGTATTTATCACAAAAATTTGATGTCACAGGCACTTTACGTGTATTTTGTGTTATTTAATGAGTGAGATGCCAAAAGTAAACCCAGGGCAACTATAGTGTGAGTGCTGACTCAGCTTTTGCCCTTTTAACAGCTGTATTACTGTTTGGAAATTAAGATAAAATCTTGTGCCCTGTTTGCTTTATTTATGGGCTTGTTTGTTATTTTTATTTTGATGTTTTTCATTTTTTTGCCAAACAGTTTAGTTTTTTATGGAGCTCATCTGGTGACTTTAGAAAACACAATTYGTGTCCAAGTATCATTATCCCATGGCCACAAGACAGTTGAGTTAATGCAGTCTTTTTCACGCAGAGACTGTTAATTGTTAACATGCACAAGTGTGAGTTTATTTAATTTAGTTTTAATATAGGATCGAATTACACTGACATACTTCAGTCACTTGTGGTTAAGCATAGAGTAATTCTTAGCAAGAGACACTTAATTCGGCTACTCATTATCTTGTGGCCACATTTATTTTTTATCCAACATTACGAAAATGGCTCTTTAGTTTTTAGTTCATAACAAACCAAATATTTATATTTGATGACAGGTTTGGAAAAAGGAGCCTTTTTCTCTATAAAGGGAGTGTGCACATTATTACGGAATTAGTTTTGTTCCTAAAAGACTGAGAAAAACTCTTTTCGATCAAACAAAATTTAAGAATTTTGAGGAAAAAAAAAATTTAAAAGTCATTTCAAAAGTCGAACTTACAATCTGTGATCAAACAAAGACAAGATAAAGACTTTACAATAGCTGTGTTTCCATTGCAAATGTGTGCAAAACTTTGTCGATATTCTGTTAATGTAAAAAAAAAACAGTTTCACAACTACAGTG